TCACTGTGTAATATGGAGTCAACACTAGCACTCAGTCCAAAGGGGAGCAAAGCAACTGGTGAGTCATTCATAACTACAACAACTGAGTTGCAGCCTCCAGAACAAGTGCTGCCCACTCGTTCTTTGCGATCACCCCTAGGATGTGTTATTTCTATCAGTGATGCTTTCTGGCCCACTATCGTACATGACACTGTCCATTTCTAGGCTCAAAAACAAACATACTGCTTAAAAAGAACGGGCTTTTTGTATCTGCTCACTGCTGATTCAGGACGAGTGCCACCTACTGACAGCAAGAGCTGTTTCCATTTGCTTAATTAAACTCATCAACAATTTTAACCTGGGTTGCTGTGGCTTCAGGCAACTTTGCTTCAAGTCCAAATGGTGAAACTAGGCCTCAAAGAAAAAGGATTTTCATAGATCTGGAATGGTACAGGCCAGATTCTCATTAAAACCTTACAGCCCATGATGATGACGACTGATGAAGAAGTCCCCAGCACCACCAGTCACCACCATACCTTCCTGCAAAAATAAACAAATCAGACAAAAATATTCACCCTCTGTAGATAATGAAGTATTGAAAACGAAGGGTGAATTAGAAAAAAAAAAGAATCAAAAGTCCAAAATCCATAGAAATATATCTAAATCTGAACAAAGACAACATATCTCTACATAAAGAAAATTGAAGTATTACAGAATGAATACAAATACCACTGGATTGTGAGAAGTCAGCTGCAGGGCTTCATCAAAAGTCTTCTGGAAAGATTTGCTATAAATTGCACCTCCACTCTATATACAAGCTTCATAAATGAAGTATAGGATTTTAAGAGACATTTTCTCTTTCTTTTTGTCAGGCCTGGAGTCATTAAACAGAGATTAGCTGGATAAATAGAGGAAGTGATTTTTAAACTGTTTGCAAACTTAATGTGAAGAGCCCAGCCTTGCAAATTATCACGTCTAATCAGAGATGCACGCTTCACTGCTCCAGTAATTGTACTAGTATTAGTCAAATTCTTGTTGTCTCCTCATTAGCCATGAAAAGGAGACTCAAGATGTACTTCATTAGAGTATCCTGAATATAAATTGTTAGTGTAAGGAGGAAGAGATGCATTGCATAGTGTACTGCATATAGAAAGAAAAATATTAAGCACATAAAACATATTGAATCATTCTAGTGTTACACTGAATATATGAATTTAACAGCCAAACCCCTCTTCTCTCTTTTCATTTTTACTGTCTTGATCCCCCCTTTTATTTGCAGTTAGACTGTAGCACTTGAAAATGTAATTTACAACCAATGCCATAAAACATAAAGGAAGAAATGTGCTGTATTATGCAGCCCTTCCTATTTCCATAGCCAACAGAATTCAGTTTAATCAGCAATGGTGTATTTAGTAAAGACATTTGGCATGTTCTTGACTACTGGATAACAGGTAAAGGCAACCTAACCTGCGTTAAGTGTAGATCAAATCAAAAGGTTTATTCCTTTGATCAGCATTTAACTACATGCTCATGCCCTTCTTTATTCAGTGATACTCTTAAGTACATGCCAGTAAATCAAGAGAATTTAAACACTCCTAACATGTGAAGCTTGTGCTTAAGGGAATTTGGGTTTGAAAAATCCAGCTTCAATAGGATTTCCAAACAGGTCTATTAGAAGGATAAAAGTAAAAACATTTCCAAGAACTTTAATAGAAGCAGCAAAGCAATTTTTTTTCTTTTTTCTTTTTTTTTCCATAACTACTTTTGTTGGTTTCAGTCCAAGTCTGAAACATTTGTATTACTCAACAACAGTTAGGGGAAGCTGTGAATGAATTATAAATGCTTTAATACCTATAAATGCTTTCTACCTGTTTTGTCACAGAATAAAAAGAACCAAAAGCAAATTATGTGCAGAAACTTACCCTTTCACCCCTTGAACTGCAGCACCTGGATCTCCAAATCCTTGTGAAATCAGATGTCTGTAAAATCTAAGCTAACTTTGGTCTAGCATTTCAGTCAGGGCAGTAATTCTGAAGGGGAGTTAAACCTATAATGTATCACCCAGTAACTCTGCTTAGTGCAAGAAAATGAACTCGATTTCCAGGCCTGAGTTTTAATCCCCGTTTTGTTGGGTTCTGTCAGAACACAGCTCTACGTCCAGCCCACTTAAGCTTCATCCCTCAAACTCCCCACAATCTTAAGTTTCTTATTATTTACCATCATTTACACAGCCTGCAGGAGCTCATCACAGATAGGATCTCAGCTTGCTTGGTCCAAATATTTTGGACATAAATATTACAGTTCAGAAGTATTTCCTGGTGCCTCTTGGAACAATATTAAAACACTTCAGCAACCTTTCATACAGAATTAATTAACATAAAAACCAGCCTCCACAATGCAGCAGAGCCCTAAAGTGGTTTCTGGAATTTAATTAGGCTAACCTTCTTTTCTCTACATTGGTACCAGTCTATAATAAGTGCAAATCATTATTAATTCCTTTGGTGTTCACTATAATAACATTAATCATGATGAACTCTTTTGGTAGTAAAGTGTATGTAATATGTAATTCCATAGTAATTTAGCATTAACTTGAAATTAATTTATAAAATACACTATTTGTCACCACACACTGAACATTTATAAAATACCTCATTGTCATTAGTATTAGGATAACTTGCAGGGAAAAAATACATTTGCTATGGACTTAAAATGTTTATAAATACTTCTTGGAAATTGAGCGTGAGATATTAAATGATCATTTAGCAATTTTTCCTTTAAAACCTATAGCAAGGTAATATTAGGAATAAAACACCTTTTCGTTACTAACAGTTGTGCAGCACAATCAAGGATCCTAGTTTAAGTCTGGTTAAAGTTTGGAAATTAAAAGAATTCAGGGATGAACAGTAAATAACTTAGAAAATTAAATGGAGAAACACATACAGAAAAAAACTTTATTAATCCAAGTATGTTGAAACAAGTCACATTTAAGAGTACTGCTCTGTACCCTAGAACTGACCGGATAATATATGGTACTGGGAGATGACTGGGTTTGAACACGCTAGCTTTTGGTAAATAGTTCCTACTTTATAGAGTGCCCATGAGGTGCTGAGAGTTGGTTTGTTTCACCAGGAAACATTAGTGACATGGTGTTACAGGCCAGATCACACTTCATGGAAGCTAGTTGCTCTGACCAATCTCTTTCACCAAACATATTACAAGTTAAATCACTGTCCCAAAGCAAGGGCAAACAGGAAGCTGCCCAGTGATTAAAACTTTCTGGATAGAATAGTTGCTCATACATAGTTTTGGGAAAAGGTGTGGATTGGAGACATTTCAGTGCAGCAAACACAGAAATGAAAGCAAGGTCAAGTCTAGTCAGCATGACTGTCGGCATTGGGAAATATAGATCTTTTTGGTTCAGCTCCAGCTGAAAAAAAAATGATTTGAAGCAAGAAAATTGTTTCCCAATTTCTTTACTTTCCTGCATTTTTTTTTAAAAGGAAAACTGTTTGCAAACAAACAATCTTACATCAAAAAACTTCAGTGATGATCAACTCTCTATTCGACTGGCTTAAAGACACTGAATTCTAAACACTGTCTTCAGACAGAAAGGATTTCTCTGATTGCACAAAAAGCACAGAATGATGATTTCAAAAAAGATGGGCTTTGGAGCTTGTAAAAAAAAAAAAAAAGGAGAGGAATATATAAAATAAGTGCTTGTCAAGTGAGATAACTTGATACTACAAATGGCAAAGTGATTAAGTTTAAGATACTATCAGACACTGAATATATACCAACATCCTCAGTGAGTGATACTAATGGAAAGACAGTTTTGCCTTTACACAGATGATTTGTTTTCATCACCGGACAATGCAAAATCTCTGTATTAAAAATTCACAAAGGATGCATCTGGAATCCTTTTATCTGTCTGTCTTCAGTATTTCTAAGGTGCCAATCACTATAACATCTAAATGCATTAACAAAGTAGCTAGCTTTTTCTAAGTATTTATTCCAAAAGAAGTCAAGATCAAAACATCCTCCTGCCCAGCCACAGCAACTCAGTGCCTTCTCACAAGAGCTCTGAGGTGCTCCTCCCTGTGACAGAGCCTGGATGTGGCTCTCACTCCACTTTTGGGGCCCAGAAGCTGATATTAACACTGACTTTACATAGACTATAGCTCTGGATACCATCTGAAATTACTTCATATATTTTGGTCTACGGTACAGCTGACAGACTCTGTGTGATAAGGCACGTGAATAAAGAGCATGTATGGAGCTCAGAGCGGGAATGACTTTAAGCAAGTGTTCATCCAATTTGTTGAATCAGGCTCCTCACTGTTGGGCAGATCTTCAGCGTACTTTATATATATATCAGCATTACCTCAGCAGAGTTGCCTCTCCTTTAAATTGGTATGAGTAAAAAGGAAGAATTATGCCCCATAAATTTTAGCTGTACTGACAGGTCTTTCCCACCTTAAATGAAAAATACTGGGCATGTCTTTTACTCTATGAAATTACTTCTCCATTATACTAGGTATTCATAATAATAATTAAAAAAAAGGTTATTCAAACAATTTATTCTAGCCTAATATTTAAAACTGTAAATTTATTAACTTAATTTACACAAAAGGAGACTCTCTGCTTTGGAAAAAGTCAAGGATTCTTTGCCTCATTCTCGTCTATTCCCTGCAATGATTTAGTGATAAAATAGACAAGAAGGATCAGATCTTCTCCGGGTATAAATTGCCAGCTGCAGACCTTGAACCATAAATATCTTCCTTTTCTATGTTATTGTTAATGTTAAATACAGGAGATTCTCTAAGAAGTTACTTCTTAAAGAAGCATCAGTCACGATCTTGTGGTTCAGCCTGCAATAAGTTTTGTATTTAAAAGGTAGATTTAGCCATTTAGTTACATATAATGAATACAGTTTATTCCTCCCCAAAGCGTAATACTTATTTTTAGAATACAGGAAGTTTGTTTTGTTTTGAATAATGTATATTCATACGCAAATGACTTACATTTAAGAAGTCTCCTCAGGCCTGATGTTTAAAGTTGGAACTTGATTGAATTCCACTTATGTTCAGTGTCAGGGATAATTCAGTGATAATTTATTGTGTGCTGGAAAATAAAAAGGAAAAACTTAGACCTTGGAAAAATTATATTCTTCTTGTTTTATGTTTGATGTTTAAATAATTGTTTTCCTAGTCATACTGGAGAGTTGTTCTAATTCTGCATTTTTCTGTATGTTTCCCTCATCAGTACTGGGATTTCACCATTAAAATTAGGGACAAATTTCATTACTCTGACCTTCATTATGACAGCTATCAGGACTCTTTTGTGAACTGCCACAGCTCAGTACTGGCCTAATTCCAGCACTGCTTCTTATGCTTTTTCTCTTGGTTGTTCTGCTCTATTCCTTAATTTTATTCTCATTTTTCATGTGCTCCTTTCTGTATCGTTTTCCCCTTGCAATTCCCATCACTTCTGTATCCTACCTCTATCCTTCTCTTTCCTCTTGAACAAATCATCTAACTTTCAAAACTCTTTTTTTCCTTTCTCTCTTATTTTTTTTTCTGTTAGTATTTTCCTCTGATCGAGACCCTTCTTCTATCCATCAGCATTTTGAAAAAAGAAAACCCAGCAAATTTCCATTTTGAGACTTCCTTTAAAGAGGCCATTTTTTATTGCAATTCAAAATACGCTCCCACTGATACTACAGCTTCAGTCAACTCAAGGTCATAAAAAGGAGCTTATATATTTTACCCGTCTTGTGATTTCAAGTGTTTATTCTCAACAGATGTAAGCCGGAATTAAAATTTCCAGCACATGCCAGAAATCACAGGTATTGCTCCAAACAATTACTCAAACCACTTCATGATGCTGTCATTCCAGGAAAACAGTATTTCTAGGTATTGTGTTGGAGCCCTAGATAAGAAACAATTGAAGCCCTGGTCATAATACTTTATGTACTCTCTAAAACTACTCTTCATTCCCAAATGTTCTTTCATTTTTTATGAATTATTCATACGTAGGTGCCTTCAGGGTGGAGTTGCTGGACAACAGTATTCCAAATAAAAAAACTAGTCAAGGATATAGGGTTAATTCTTATGGAAATAATTTAGGAACTTCAGTATTTCTGAAAAAAACAGAATGCTTGTGGTTTCAAGGCTCAGTAGAAAAATAGCACTTGGCTTGCTTAAAAGCTTTACAATTATATAACATGGAAATAAATGAAAATGGAAGTACTTGAGTTTCTTTCTTTTTCTCTTTTTTTTTTTTTTTTTTTTTTTAAATGAGATTCCATGGAAGGTCTTCTCAACAGTTGGCTGCGATTTGAAATACCCTTTTGCATGTGGAATTTCATACAGAGAAAGAAGATGAAGTCAATTAATTACATGTAGAAATCAGGCCAGGTAACACTCATACCACTCCCTTTACATAATACAGAACTCTATGTGAAAAAGGAAGCTTCCCAAAATTATTATATTGAAGTCTTGCCTGGGGTAAAGAAGCACAGCCCCTGTGTTATCTTGGGCACTTAAAGTGGTAGGAATTTATATATACAGCTAAACCTTTATTTAATCACCGATTAAAAACAGAAATCTCCAGGGAATGATTATTTACTGCTCTTGATTCCCCCAAAACCCTTGGCACAGCAGGACTGCACCCATAGCTGGGTTACTGGATAAGTCCACCTGGGAAACTACAGTTTTCACTGGGAAACTGCAGGTTTCCTATTAGCGAGGCAAAGCTCCTGTCAGTAACTCTGCACATCATGGTTTCTTTAACACAGATTGCTCCTTGCTGTTAACCAACCCATACTTTTTTTTTTTTGTTTGTTTGTTTACAGAAGCAGTCTATTTTCTGCTCAGGCTTTTGTTCTTTGTGCATTGCATGTGCTAACTCATTAGAAGAATTTTTATGTAATTCTCAACTGTTTATGGATTGCAGCTACCCCAAAAGGAAACTCAGCAGGTTGTTAGCTGAAAGCCACCTAAAAAAGGCAAATGGGTGAGGGAGAGCCTAAAAAAGGCAAGTGGCAGGGAGAGAGGGTAAGAGAGATTAATTGCGGTTTGCCCTAATCTCAACTCATCTTTTAATATTAAACTAATTCAGATAGCAAACATACTTAGATTAGCAGTGAGGCTGGAGTACCGATAACAAAGATAAATGTGAGTCAACTTGATGCTGTCAATTCACTTTTTTTTTTTTTTTTTTTTTTTAAAGAGCCACACGGGAACCAAGGGTTCAGAGCCACTCATGGTTCACTCATCCAGGACACCAACATGAAAGCTTCTAGATATTGCAGAGGCCTCTTTATAGAGGCTCTTACAGGTGGGAATTATGAACTAGAAGAGAAGCTCCACCTGTATCCTGGTGAAGCAGCAGAGCTACCTACATCTCTTGCCAAGTTTATGAGATGCCTACTGTGCCTGTAGAACTCCTCAAAAAGAACGTTAGCCTCTGCTACAGGAAAAATATTGTCATAAGTAGGGCTACGACTGATTCACCAAACCTACTACTGCCTGACTGGAGAGAAGGCTGACTATACTTTTTTTTGGTCAGAGTTGTCTACTGCACACAAGGGTGTTAAATCATGGTCTTATCTTTCACTTTTTAACAGGCTTTCTCAGGCTGTTTTAAGGATGAGGTTAACAATTTACTGCATTTTTCAAAATCACATTTTTAGCAAATGTTGCCACTCCCTCGGAAACTTCAAGGAAGTTGTATTGATACCAGGATATTTTATTCTGCATTTAGGGTTCATACAAGATTAGAGGATCTCAACATAATGCTCCAAACCAAGCCAGAAAAGTCTGGAGAGAATTGTAAGTTCCATAATGAAAAAAATAAAGCCCTCTCTTTCCTAACCCAAAAACTACCAGGCCTCACTAAGAAAGCCAAGAAACAATTTGAAATGCATCCCACATTATAAAAACAACAACAACAATGCAAAAACAAACAAACCAACAGAAAACCCACCAAGGTTTAAGAAGAGCTTAGCTATTATTCTACCTCAGTTATCTCAGGAGCTTCTGCTTACCTGAGTCCTTAAAAAAAAAAAAAAAGAAAAAAGGGTTGCTTTCATTGTTTTTATTACCTCTTACACCTGTGCAAAGCAGGTGTCAGGTGTCAAGTATTTCCATTTTAGCATTCCCATTACACAAGGATCAAACAAGGAGCTTGTTTGAGGGAAGGTTTGTTAGCTAGTCCTTGGTTTCTTATTCTTGTGACTGTTTTTTTCCAAAGTCTTTCTATATATTTATTTCTGTCAAGTATCCTCTGTAAAGTTAGCAGGTAGTGGTTCAAACTGAACTTTGGTTTTAAACTTCTGACCCAAATGATTTGGAAGAAATGAAAAAAGAATCATAACGTTACAGTCAGCACCAACCCCTATTTGCACCTAAAAGCACGGTTCTTGTTTTGCAGTGAATATTATGCTTTTGTAGGATAAAAACATTACGTTCAGGTTTCTAATGCAAAAGTTTTGCTGGATGCAAAAGAAAAGACCAGGGAGATAGAAACCAGTTTCATTTCACTTGCTCTTAGTTCCTTTTAAGTTCCTCCTTCCTCTCTCTTCTCACTACTGATGGTGCCTTTTTTTCCCTGCTATCCCCCTGCCATACGTATCTTGGTGGTAGCTGTTGTACAGTCCCATGTGCCATGCTGCTCTTCCCTTCCAAAGATGCACTGTACAACTCCAGTGTATAATACACAGTCTAATACAGAAGGTGAAAAAAATCACCTTAAAATCATTAAATCCTCATCTTAACTCCATTGTATTAGATATTTTTGAACAGGCAAGGGAGGATGAAGTAAAAGCTTTTTTCTTGATTTTTTTTTCTCTTCAAGTCTGGTGCTTTAGACAAATGATTTCTCACAGTGCATATGAGATTAAAAAAAAAAAAAAGCACCCTACAGTAAAATTATAGGCAATGGTTTTCTTTTTTATCTGATAAATTATTGCCAGCTGACTGATGAACCCACTCTGGAGAGGGTAACATGACACAGTTAACAACCTTAAGGATTACAGTAGTCCAGACGCTATCATCTTAATTGGAAAACCACAGTGTGGCCAACTGTCCATGTTAGAAAATGGAAGGTTGTATTATTATTTTTATCATTATTATTATTCCTGTGTCTCCACCCCTCTCTTTTTCTTCATATACCCAAGAACTGTTAGATTCTTTCTATGGTTTTCCTTAGAAATTGTATTATCACTACAGAAAGACAGCTTTTTTGAGACAACCTAAGTCCCACTGCATGTTTTCGTTCCTAGTACTCTCATTTTCCTATCAACAAGGGGAAGATAATAGAGAAGCCTTTTCAAACATTCAGGCTCATCTTTAGAAAGAGCCTGAGCTTAAGCTCCCATGTCAATAAAATAGTAATTACATCATATGTGATAGGTCACAAACAGTAATTACAGGGAGGGGAAGGAAGAGGGATAACCAGGTAGCTAAAGTAACCATCCATGACTTGGGAACCTCCAGTTTCTGACTCCTCTTAGCTGTGTGCCCAGAACACTGGTACAACAGTCTGTAGCACTTCAAAACTTTCTGTGTAATTATCTCACGCTACTGCGAGAGAAAAACAAGTTTCTATGTAAAGCACACTGACTTTCAGAAGCATCTGACAAAGCACTGAATTAAATCTGCAAGTCTCAAGCTAAAGCACTGGCCATTGTTTCTTTTTTTCTGTCCTTGGGTGAACCACTTAAATCACGCTGTGTCTCCATTTCCCATCTGGAAAAACTTGTAGATTGCAGACTGTTTCTCACCGGGTTTGATCCTTCTGTGGGGAAGGTAAAGTCACAACATTTAACTCCATAATGTACAATGATTCCAGCTGCTTTTATGCCTGTGAAGCAGCTGGTGAAAGTCCTCCTTGGCTCTGTCATTCCTCAGAGCATCCAGCATGGGTTTTCTGTTGTGCCATGGTCATTTTGGGATAGAACAAGAAGGCAGAAGAGGGGGTTGCTCCAATCTTTTGATGCAGTCAGTGATTTAAGGGAGTCTGTTTACATATGCTTCAAATGCAGTTTTCTCTTTCAAGATCACAAAGAGAACAACACACTGCCACTGCTGAGGCATACCTATAATCTTGCCTTGGAGGGC